AAATTTCAATTTGGACATGACCTTTGGATCCGGATCCGAATTTCAGATCTAAATTTAGAATCCGTAACCAGATCTAAATAAGATCCGAATTTCGGAATTCAGATACAGATGGGTCAATTCTCACTCCTACCGGCCACACAAAAAAAAGCACAACATTTACGGCCTCAACATACTCAATGACGGTATCACCGCCCCATCAATGTTTAACGGTGGAAAGTGGATCGCAATGTACAACTCAATAAAACTTGTCACCCTCATGGTCTAGCCAGTTGCTTGTACAGTGAAAAACGACATGTATAGAGATACGGGTAAGGTTTGCGTGAGGTGCCCACCCTGCACTATACAAGTGAGGGGCGCTTTTAACTTTTGTGGAAAGATGTAGTTCTGGTGTTAAAAACTTTATGGTAGCTTGAAAATCCATATTTAACTTTAATTATGAAATTTAAAAATTTAAAAATAATATGTTCATAAACTTGAAAATTTTGAAAATAAAAGGTTTAAATAATTTGTTATAGATCTATTATTTTAGTACTAAAATTTCTTTTTCATTTATTTATTTATTTATTTTATTTTATTGTTTTATTTTTTGTTTTATCTATATACATTTCAAAGTTCAAGATGATTAAGTGGAAGGTTTCGAAGCAACGCTCTTTTATATGTTTTTGCGGTGGGCCTTCGCTATGTGAGGAGGCAATTTAATATGAACTTTTTCCTAAGGGTCATGAGAAAATAAGTACAAATGGGTTCGTACATGCAAAAGTCGTTGGCTTTTGCATAAAAGGGGCGTCACAAAAGAAAGTAAGGAAAGCGCGTTATTTTGGAGATGTTGACAATAAAAGCAATGTTTTATGTTAAATAATCCACTTAACATTAGAGCAATTGTCGATTTCTTTATGATAGTTTCGTTTGTTTTTTTTTTCTTTCCCCACTTGTCCCTTCTTAACTCAATATTGTTATTATAAAATGGAAATGAACAGTCCTTACATTAAATAATAGACGTTATCTCTTTGAGAAAGGCCTAATTGACTTTTTTATTGGTAAAACCAATAAATAATATAAAAAATAGGAAATAGGCATATTTTTAGAAGGCTACGGCCACCAGAAATATATTAATATGGGTGGGGTTTGTACCGAGCCTAGGCTCTAAACAATCAAATTAGAGCCTATCTTCAAATAGTATCGAGAAATGTGGTTTCAAGATTGAAAATCTTAGTGATGGTCTTAAAATATATTTTCATCTTTATTTATAAAGTTCACAGCTTCAAAAATAGTATAGATCGACAGATCTATGAAAACTTCAAAATATTAAAAATTGACGGTCCAAAAATGTATTACAAAATACATTATTTCCAAAACTTGAAATCTATTTTTTTCTCATGTCCATGTATCTTGATGTCGCGATTATCATTTTGAGGACATTTGACCATCAAAACAACTTCTTCTAATAAATTTTTTGAAGTAGGCTCAGATTTGATTATTTAGAGCCGCAGCTTTATATAAACTTTTCCCTATTAATATATTATCAATCACATGTATATAAATTTTCATCAAACTGAAAAACTATGTGAGGAACGTTTGTGTCTCGTGTGACCTCAAGTAATCAAACACACAATCACTCCTCCGAATCAATCTCAAAAAAAAAGAAAAATAAATAAAGAAAGGCCAAATTCACATCTTGAAATTTTCAAAATTAGTCTGATGATGATAATGATGATGAGCCTCGCTTGAATACAAATCATCCAATTGATTGATATTGAGACCAGCCTTTGATTCTCACCTTTGATTCTCAAAACTTATTGTCCTTTTTAAATTGTATTTGTCAGATAGAGATAACACTCTCTACATAAATAATTAGGGCAGGAGGGACCGCCCAAAACATAAGGTCAGTGGGACGACTTAATGCCTAAATTTTGTCCTCTTATCAATCGGATGGCCTACAAAATAAAAAAATACATTTCTGGGACCATACTTTTTACCAACTCCCTAGGTTAAAAGACTTACTTGGGAAATTATTTAATCTAAAATTTTGGCAACCAACTAAGATTCCATCAATTATTATTTTCAGAAAAAAAAAAAATCAAATCTTGACATTTTAAATACTTCAATCTCACCATCTAAAATTTGAACGGGTCTCTCAAGATATTAGCTTTTTTTAAATGTATAGAGAGTGCAAATTTGAAATCTTTTTATTCAGGTTAGTTTATGATTAAAGAGGTTATATCCCCAGATTTTGGGGTCTTGAAATTACTCCTCACCTATTGTTGGGAGGCCCTCTAAAATCATCTCAAAGTTTGGAATTTTGGTCCAAAAAAATTTTAGGATCTGCTAATCTCAATGCTTATGAATATGAAATTTCTTTTTTTTCCAAAAAATATAAAGGCAAGCTTTCTATTCTTCCCCTGCAGCATAGAAGTTCTATCGTGCCCCTTATCCAACTGTCCATTCTGAATGCAGGGCGAGCTAAGATTGCCGTATTTTTTTAAAAAAAAAATTAATCACGATGTCACATCTCTACACTATTTTTTTTAAAAAAAAATTCTATAAACTATCTTGACACCAAATTTTGGAGGTCCATTCCTCGATTAAACTCGCACTAGCAAAAAATATAAACAAATATTTTTAATAAAATAAAATGACCAAAATACTTCTGAAAAGCTTCAAGGGGTTTTTTTGGTCATTATATTTTATCAAAAAATTATTTTTAATATTTTTTATAGGTGCATCCTAATGAGAAGCTGGCACGTATTGTGAGACATCAGATCTAAGATCAAACGGTGAGTAGCTCTCTTGAACAAAATTGGACGGCTGGATGGTAGGGGAGGATAGAACTTCTATAATGTGGAGGAAGCATAGAAACATTTCCCAAAATATAAAGAGCATTTTTCAAATAATTACTTCAACCATCTATTTTAACTTTTGAGATGCACCATTTTCTACGTATCTTAGAGATAGTTGCTCGATGCACGAGGGGATCACAAACAATATTAAGTCAATTGACTCAATAAAACTATGTCATTTTATTTTTATAATAAGCAGGCCAGAGGTATAAAGCATTTATCTTACAGATGGATGTAAATAGGTGGTCCATCTAAAAACTATTGTAACTAACTGTCCAAGTGTTTTTTTGATATAATTATTATTTTTAATTTTAAAATTTTATTTAATTTTCATATCCATGATCCCTATGTTATATAGTCTCTAAAAATTAAGATCAAATTATATTTAAAAATATATTTATGGCCAAGCTCATATTTCTACATTATGCAGGCTGGCCGCATGTTAATCGCGTCTTTGTTTAATCTAAAATTTTGGCAACCACCTAAGAATCAATCAATTATCATTTTTAGAGAAAAAAAAAGTCAAATATTGACATTTTAAATACTTTTATCTCACCATCTAAAAATTGAACGGGTCGCTCTTCATTGTTGAGAAATTAGTTTTTTTTAGATGTATAGAAAGTGCAAATCTGAAATCTTTTTATTGAGGTTAGTCCATGACAAAAGAGGTTTTATCCCCAGATTTTGGGGTCTTGAAATTAGTCCTAGATTTTGTTATGAAGAAGTATTGGGTGAGTGGGCCACGTCACCTATTGTTGTGCAGTCACCCTCTAAAATCATTTAAAAGTTAGACTTTTGGTCTAAAATTTTATGATTTGCTAATCTTAACATGAACATGATGCTGCTTTTTTATTTTCAAAAAAACTTTAAATACTGTTTTTCAAATTGCTTCTTCAAGCATCCTTTTTAACTTTTTGGGATGCACTATTTTCTTTGACGTCCATCGCGTTTGATGCACAATGGGTCCGTACAATAATAATTTCGGCTGACTCACCAAAAACATGGCCTTTGGTTTCACTATTACTCTGCCCTTACTCTGCCCCAGAGAGGATTGTTCCGGAAAATATACATGGATCTAAAAAATATCTTCATACACTTTTATTTTTAGGTTTCATATTACAAGATTTTAAAAGATGTCTTGCATAAAAATTTTAGATTTTATTTATTTTTACTCTTAAGCTAATTTAAATTTATTTTTTAAGTTAAATAAATAAATAAAAAACATGCCTTTTTTAAAAATCACTCTCCTCAATTTTTAGATAGACAGAGGACTTCATGAAGGTTAGAGGTCACCTGGAGGAGACAGAGATGTGCTTAAAAAAAACACGGAAGGAGAAAGTATGAGAGAGATAGGAAGAGAAAAAAATAGAGAAATTTAAGGTATATGAGTAATGAGAGAAAAAAGATTGGATTTAAAAATAACAAGTCTCCTTCATATTTATTTAGATTAAAAAATAAATTTAAAATGATTAAAGGGTTAGAAGATATATTTTTAAACCATAAATTTATCAAAAAATAAAACCTAAAAATAAAAGATATAGCTCTCTCCTACCTTGTCAGAAAAAAAAACCCTATCCTCGGGATTATCACTGCGAGCATGAACCCATGAGTTGCATGTGATTTGGATAGGGCCTTGATCAAATCCATTGAGCACTATGCTCTCGAAGTACATCTCTTTGTGGTGCTCATTCCGAACCAACACCGCGCCCACTGCCCCGAAACTGGGGCTCACCTTGAACTCACCCTCATACTCCACCACGTCCAAGCCATTGAGGCCTATTTTTCTGTGTAAATACCCCTTCATCGTCGGCTTCTCAAGCCCCGTTTCTGAAAACACAAGGATTCTTTTACAACTCTCGAGAGATAAAAAGAGATAGAAGCGAGAGAGGTAAATCAAAATAAGATATCTCCAAATCATGCACACAAGAATGCAAAAAAGACAAAAAAATTAATACCATTAAGACACAAGCACAAACTCAGAGAGGACCTTCAATAAGGTTTTGATATCCTCCTCTCACTCACTCTTTGTAAATTTTGATATTTTCTCCACTTATAGACAAAAACAGAAGAATACCTCTGTAAATTTTGATATTTTCTCCACACACACTGACAAAAATAGAAAAAATTCCTAAAGCATGTTTCCATACAATACAATGTGGTAGAGGGGGAGAGAGATTTCCACTTACGAGGATCCAACTCTTCACTGACAAGCTCCAACCTCACCGATTTCCCCAACACCTCCAATAAATCACCCACCCCTCTGCCCAACCCAACGTTCGTCAACTCCCCGCCCACCGTCACCTTAACCGTCGCCTTCGCCTTCACCGTGATCACGTTGTCCCCCGTCTTCTTGCTCACCGAACGGTCCCATATCACCGCAAAGACCTTGCCCATACCCACTTTCCGGCGGTTTCCCGGCCATGATCCCGGCCGATTGAGCCGGACCAACGAGTCACGGCTCGGCCTCAAAATCGGATTCGGAACCACTAATAAGGCTGAGCGTGAACCGGCTTGGACCTGTGAGTTCATCATCTTTGATCAACCCTGTGAACTCAGGTTTGGGATCTATTGGCTGCACTTTTCTACTAACCTCACTTCATACCTATATATAGACAAGCTCCACCCCCAACTCCATCTTGCTTACGTCATTAATGTCCCTTTGAAAATGAAAAGTTTTCAGTCCTTCCCGAATTAAGTTCAAAGTTTCTGCAAATCAAATTTTGGCTTCAGATTTCGGTGCATTTCGGCGAATAGATGAATGGTATATATTATGATTGCTAAAAGATTCCTCCTTTTATGGAGGATAATATCTACTTCCTCCCTTGGGCACAACAGTGGATTTTTGTTCGTGGAAAGAGGATAAAGGTGATTGTTATTTGGGTGCGGTTTGTAAAGAGCCTAGACTATAAACAATCGAATTATTGATACCGTATATGAATCTCATCTGTTTTTTTCTTTTTTTTTAGATTCAAAAAGTGATGTGGAGGAAGGAAAACTTTCCCCCCAAAAGTTTTACTTTAAATATCCAATTTATTAAAAAAAAAAGCATCTCGCAGTTTTTTTTTTTTTAAAATAAAAGTCATAATTATTATTGTCTCTTAAATTTCAAAATGACTGGATATAAAAGTATCATTGAATAGATACAAAATTCCAAAAAAAAATTATTAAGCTTGTAACGAACCCCAAATCATCAAATTTAATACCTAATGAGTGAAAATGATTGTAACCTCTATATACAAAAGATAAATTGTCTATTTGTAAGCAATCCCTAATAAATATATAAATATATACATTTTTCAATAGATGAAATCCCCTTTGCCGTTTGCCCATCAATCTCTAAAATTTTGTACATTGTCTACATCCAATAATATTAATTCTCTATATCTACATTTCAAATACGACTGAAAATAAAAAGAAAATGTTTATATAAGACTGTAACTTTATACTATTAAAGTAAAATAGACCAAAAGAAACCTATAGAAGAGAGTGTTTTGGTGTTAGAGAATCCTCCAATTAATCATTTCAACCTCGAGATGTATGGACATAAAAAAACGAAGGACTCCAAGTTCAAAAAAGAATGCATTTTCTAATAAGTTATCTGAACCATCTATTTTAAAGTGTTTATTGATCTACTCAATCTATACCAATTTTAAAATTTAAAATTTTATAATTAGAGATAAAAATAAATTAAACCTTTATAAAGATTATGACACATAACGATATATGAGGTATGCCTTACTTCTACAGTATAAGGAGGTAATCTTTTAGAAATCACACCCAAAATGGTAATGATAAAAACTAATCTAAATTAAGAAATACGGTAAATGTTAAATAAATATCTACTAATACTCATCTCCTTTCCATCTTTCATTTCATTTAAGAGCTACTGCCAAAAATCTTAACAGAAATCAGTATTTTTTTAATTATTCAGTGTCCTGTGCCCTGCATTGGTTGCTCATTCATTAGAAAGTAAATGATATGTGATTCACGCGTTCTATGGACGGAATGGACTTTGGCTTTTTGTGGCTGTGATTATTTTACTGAAAATTTGATGGACGGTCCCCATTGTTCTTGTCTTCACATTGACCAGACCACTACTATTGTTATGGCCTTCCATTTCCAATTACACATTTCAAGGCACGTGCAATACCCACTACTATTGTTATGGCCTTCCATTTCCAATTATACATTTCAAGGCACGTGCAATACGTTCAAAACATTTAGTAAATGGCATCACAAATGTTTATAAAAAGAGAGCAAACGCCATAAATTGTTTTGAGAACTCCATTAACGGAATGTATATACTTTGAAAAGGTTTATATAAGGTGTCAACCTTATACCGTTGAAGTAAAGGGCACCTCAAAAACCTGTTTCATCACTAGAAAATTTTTCAATTGATCATTTTGATATCGATAGTTATAAAAAGTTAAATTTTAAGTTTTAAAAATAATGTATCTTATAATATATTATTTAAATTATCCATTATCAAAAAAATTAAATACTCATAGATCTGCTAGATTTTCACTATTTTTTTAGCTTTTAACTTCATTATGAGGGTGATAAATAGACTTTAGAGAATGATAAAATAAGAGTTTTGGCACTAAAAATATTTCTTTTAATAAGATTTTAAGGTTCACCTGAGGGCGGTTCTTGGCACCTTATATAAACGTCACCCATTTTCTAATACTTCGTCTTTTGGAAAAGTGTGCCGTGCGTCAGGCTCATTCGCCCTCGGAGTTACAAACGTCCATCTTTAATATAGAGATGGATCTCCACAACTAGGCATTCCTATCCAATGGATAGCGAAAAAATGTTATAAAATTTTATTTATTTTTATTTTTTATATTGATGATCATCAATAAATCATGGATCTCTATAAATTCAGATCCAAGATCTACATTAAAAAATAGATGTTAGAGGAAACCTGCACGAGAATAGTATAAGTAGGGGACTCATAAAAAACTGAGTCATTATCTTTTATATTCGAGCATGTGCTGGTTTCGCACGATATGTATCAACCGACGATAGGTTGGTCACTAGGTGTGATTCCCAAAATATTGCTTCAATAATACCACTTCATCTAGTCAATGTCAATAATTGATGGGGATAATTTTACCATGTGTTTAACTGGCAGCACAAGTATTCTATTACTACCTGACAATTGAGGGATGGATGAAATTAAATGGGGATAGATGAAATTAAATGTAAATAAACGCTTTTGTAAAAGACAAAATTGAAACATGGGAGAAGTTACTCAAGAAAACATATAGAACTGCTTTTGTTTAGGTTTTTTCATTTGGGCCAATTTAAGTGATCAAGTAAGAAAAGTGATACAAATACCCCACTTGTTTTGACACCGAATTCATAATATGTTTTTTCTTCAATAACAGCTACTGCTACGGCTAGGGTCACCCAAATTAAGTTAATGATGAAATTACCTTGCTTGTTCCTTATTTAGAACCTTAAAAATGTATTTTTACATGAAAATTACTTGTTTTGAGTTGAGGACCCCAATTAATCATGAACACTATTGTAATTTGGCCAACTAATATAAATCCGTAAAATTACCAAAGTACAACTTGTTAGTTAGAGATTTTAATATAAAAACACATTTTTGCAGTTTCGAAGTCACAACAAGAAAAGTAGTTTCATCATTTGGCACCAACGCACTTAAGTTGAACCATAAACTATCCTATAGTTGTTAATATTCAGAAAGAAAAATAAAGAATTGCTCCTATTTGCTACAGATTACGAGCAAGAGAATTTTTTTTGAGAAAAAACATGCTCCGGGTTTGAAACAAGGCGCCTAAATGTCGTTTGGCTATGGCCCCTAAATTGGTTATGGCCCCCTAAAATATATAAATTATATTTTTTAAACTGTTTGAATTTATTTTTAATATATATTTTATTTTTAAAAAAAATTAATTTAATTTTTATTTCTTTATAGCCTTTTGGCAAGACTGGGCTGAGTAGAGGTCCTCTGGCCGAGGCGAGGCGAGTCTGGTTACATTCGTAGAAAGTGTTAAATGAAAGTAAGATTTGCTCTAGAATCTTAGCGTGTAAGAGTACTTATGTAGGCTAACCCTTTTCACTCTGGTTAGTCACAAGTTGAGAGAAAGAGTTCAACATTTCGCCTACGGGAGGGCAGCATGTACGTGTGTAGAGCGAGTGTCTTTGTGAAGCAGTAAGATAGGGCTGGCAATTGGGTGGGGTTGAGGGCCGAGCCAGTCTTGGCCTCAGCCTGGCCTTAGTCCCTATACGGTTAGCCTGAGTCCAAATTAAGCCAAAAGCCCTAGCCCCGTCCAAGTTGAGCAGGTTAGAAATACAAAAATTAAGCAAAAAGAAAGCTAGGCTCGGGCAGCTGCATCGTGGTCGTGGCCTTGGCCCTGGCCCGGGCCCTACCTTAGCCCTAGCCCAACCCTCTAGCGGCCACACCCATTGCGAGCCCCAAGTAAAAACGTTTTTCATATGGAATGTAGGGCGGCTCATTGCTAAAAAACTTTATTTAGATGGAATCTTCATTGGCAGCCCTAGGTAAAAACATTTTTTCGACGTTTCATTAAATATTTGTCAATCAAACCATGGAGGCCGTACCCTCCTTAGTGGTGGACCACATGGAATGCGACCCTTCTCTCATATCTTCACAGAGGCAAAGAAAAATAACATGTTACGTGTTTCCTCCTTCGTTTTTTTGCTTTTGTTTTTTTTGGTCTCAAACCTACTCTAAGGACAAGTGAGAAAAAGAAATATGTTGAAGTAATGGATCATAATAGTGTTTGACTACTCGGTCGGTCCGAGCTCGAGTTTTTGCTAGTTGGGTTTCCCGTTGGGGGATATTAAAAAAATCATAAATATCTCAAAAAATAAAGAATTTATTTGTGATATGTTTTTTATGTTTCCTATCATTTTTATAAATATTGAAAAATATTTTGACCATAAATACTTATTTTTACATTTTTTTCATCTTCTTTGGATTATTTAAAAAATAACCCCAGTTAAAAATTGATTTTTTTAATATCTATTTTTTACTGTTTTTTAAAATTAATTTTGATCTTAATTTTACTTAAAACATATATTTCTTAATTTTTGAACTTTTGATAAATTTTTAACTATTTTTTCTGCTACAGTACGAGGGACCTATTGCGAGGGGTACTCGACCCACTTGTGCAGAGTAGTGGTTTGTAAGGAAGATTTTAATAAGAAAAATTGTAAAGAGAACATCCAACCTGGGGGATTTAGTAATTTTCCATGTTTCTTCCTCGAGCTTTTTATTTTTAAGAAAATTTGAAACGATAATGGCACCAACGAGGAAATAGAGTGCGACACGGAAATCGAATCCGAATCTCTCTCATAAAAAACGTGACACAAACGAGAGGAAATTATCTCTCTCCCCTCATATTGTAATCAAATGATCAATCATTCTCCCCTCGTATTTTAATCACATGATCTCTCTCTCTCTCTCCTCATAAAGTTGCTCTCTTCTCTTTGATTCTACTCTCTCTTCTCTTTCTCTCTCTCCTCATAAAGTTGCTCTCTTCTCTTTGATTCTACTCTCTCTTCAGAAGATAAACTTGTTCTCTCTTTTCTTTGACAACCGTAC